CACAACACGCCTCAGCTAGCACAGATGGTCCATGAGCACAGTTATGCTAATCCGCACATCCTTTTTCCTCCCCCTCATTACAGTCAAATCCATGACATAGCCGCTCTGCTTCACTTCGTAAAATTCTTATACTACTGACCAATTTCACATCTAAACTTCTTTATTATATTTCCTGTTACCATTTCCCACTTTCTTCTTCTATTACTTTTATTTTATAGAAGCCAAAGACCGCATGGATTAAAGGTGTCGTCGAACTTGATTGTAAACCTCAAGATTTAACCTATATAGCTTGTCCCAATTGTTATCATCCAGACAGTTGTATAGATGAGCGAAAAATTATCTGCAAATACTGTCAAGCTAATGTTGATCTCCAACCCAGGTGCATATTCTTATAAATAAGGTACATTATTTTTATTAATCAATCTAAACTTCCACTGTCAAATCATCCACTTATTAATTCCAGGGCTTGTATTTCAATTTGGATCACGGATTCAACTGGCACTCTATGTCTTACTGCTATGGCCTCTGAAGCCGAAAAGCTAGCTCAATTCTCAACTGCTGAGCTATACTATTTGCAAACAGAAGTAATTATCAATTTTCTTTTATATGCTACTTGTTTAACTCTCTTTTTCCCAACAACTTAGGTTCCTTTCTTACTTTTTTCGCACCAGAACATAAATATGGCTCAACATCTTCAAGCAATTCTCCACGAAAAAATCCTTACATGCTACGTCAAGCCATCGACTTCAAAGTTCAGAATGCTACGGCGCTCAGCTTATGAAATAATCACTTCCTACACTTTAGATCAAGTTCACAACATTGACAACCTCAACATCAATAATCTCAACATTAATGACTGAAGACTTGCTTCTTTTGTTTGTTAAATCATGCCTTTTCCAATCAACAAACTACGCTCATTACTTGTGATGTTTTTTAACTTATATGTTAACTATACTGTTTCTTACCATTTCACATTTTGTCTATTTCTACATTCCAATTCCTTATTACTTTACTTAGCAGCACTGGGCATGCCAATATCTGAAGCCCACACCGCGCTTACGCGCGGTGTACACCTCCTAGTTATTAGAATAAAAGCAAAGCAGTTTGACGCGGTTATTGGTAGTCATATGAAAAGATCCAAACTGTTTTCTGATGTTCTTGTTCGGCATCCAGCAGTGATTTTCATTCAATTCTGACCACCCACTCTATATTTTTGTATTCGTTTCGAGCTAAAGAACTCGTAACGAGGCAAACAAAATTCCCAACCTTTTTCCTTTCTTTTGCTGGAAAAAATGCAACAAATTTTTTTTTTGAAAAAAGGACTGAAATGCACTGTCAAGTTAGAAGTGCAGAAAGTGCACTTCATTTATAAGTTTTGTGGAGCCAAGAATTTTAGAAGAAGATAAGGCCCATACACAAAGTTACAAAAGAACACAACGGAGAGATATAGAAACAGAATTGTATCAAGAAAGGGGGTGAGCTGAACGTGAAAGCTTAAAATTATCACCCATCGCCTAAATAGTGTATATTTTTGCAGAAAAAAATGAAAATTTGATTTAAATAATTGTTTTCAAGGCTTTTCTGAAAACTATTATATTTTAGCACCTTTATTAATAAATAAATTCGTGAGATAAATAGGTAGTAGATTAACGTGTTCAAAATTTTATTGTGAAGCATGTTTATGAATACCATGACCTAGACAAATTTCTTATACTTTAAACGCATGTCACGACGAGGAATAGAATCATTCTATTCCTCGGTGATTTAGTACACATTTTTTATAGTCTTTTCATCCTTTGTCCACACGTTGTAAAGTTTTACTACATTAATATAACTTACTAGTCATCTACAGCTGGGATCAAAGAGTCAGCCGTGGATAGGAGAAAACAAATCCTACACTTGATCATTTATGAAAAAATAAAAATAAAAAGGTGAAGCAATTATTAAATATTTAATAAGACTTTCTTACTAGTGCCTGAAAGGCACTGATTCAGGCACCGGTTAATCAATTCCCACGTCTTTGATTTTGAAAAAGGTAAAATTAATCCAAATTCTTCTAAATGCAAGAAGATTGGAAAATAATTTGTGATTATAAGGATTAAAATCTTAAAGAACCCACTCAGTACCATTAAACAAACCTTAAAAATATCCTAAACTGACCTGAGTATTTGTCTCCAGTCTAAGATAACTCTCTTTGGAGATATGATAGGTAACGCGTTTTTACAACGGTCAAGTTGAGACCGTCCTTCTGAGTAAATGGATGCCTTTGAATCTGAAAGTTCAGAGCAGATAGTACTTAATAATTCAATAGACGAATTAGAGGTTTTTCAATTTCGCTTAAAATCTTGAGTAGTAGGTAGAGCAGTCTATTCCCAGGTATGGAATCCAATTACCAAATACCCCTTCCATTGCATATACTCGATGTAAGAAACATTTGGGGATCTACCGTCTCAATACCTTAGCCATAATAATTAAATAAAAGTTGGCTGGGAAGACCAAGTCGTCAAGACCAGCATGTTGGTGTAGCATGAAAACAAGTATATAACAATGTTGTAGGAGTGGTCCTAAGCAATGTTTTCAGAACCGGACCGGACCGGCCGGTTCAACCGGTTGGACCGCGAACCGGACAGGCCAACGGTCCGGTCTAGAGCTAAACCCGGAGAGTAGTCAAGAACCGCTGGAAACCGGATGACTCGGACGAACCGGAAAAACCCGCTTAGACTGTGAACCGGCGGTTTTTGAAACTTTTCAAAATGAATTTCCAAATTGTAGCCACCAAGAGTCGAACACCAGACCTTGTGTTTGTCGTAAGAAGCCCTTACCACTAAACCATAGGCAGCGGACATGATTATTTTGTGCAGATATCTACTTAAGTTATTAAATGAAAAACTAAAAACACCCAAAGCCTAAGATACATCAAACTTATTTCTTTGTATATAAAACATATATATATATATATATGCAAAGATAGTAATAATTGTTAGTATATGTATATATATAATAAATTAGGTGTATTAAATGTGTTAGGACAACCGTTAAAAAAATCCTTTAATAAAATAGCTTTTTCAAATTATTTTTTAAATTTTTGTAGAAAAATGTACGACAACGATTTAATATGTGTAGAATAAAAATAATCAAGAAATAAATTTGTGAAAAAATTAAAAATTAAAAAAAATGACAATCCAAACAAGATCTAATTTGGTAACTAAATTGAATTGTTTAGATAAGTTATTGTTTTCAAAAATTTTAATTACATCAGAAACACTTGTGCTTTACATCATAAATATATTGTTGGTATATCTATGTTTGTTAATGTACTCCCCTTGATTATTAATGTAATCCCCTTGATTTTTTAATTTGTGAAAATAAATAAAAATACTTAGACTTTTAATTTCAGTTACAATCTCACAATAAAATAATGGTTGAAATGCAATAATAGATAGAAAGATTGAGTAGGGATATTCTTGCTCAATTGACATTGTAGACAAGTATTTAGGAAAAAAATTGATAAGTAATTATTATTTTAAAAAATATTTATAATTACATTGTACACATTCGTACTTTACATCATGACTCCTTGATTTTTTTTTAATTTGTGTGAATAAACAAAATACTTAAAAATTTTAATTTCAATTACAATCTCAAAACAATATCGTAGGTAGTAACATTGAATAAGGATATTGTTACCTAACTGACTGGTAAATAAATATTAAATAAGGGAATATTGATAAATAATTGGGCGTTAATAACAATTTTCTAGTGGACAAAAAATGTGAATATGGAGAATTTTTTTCTTCCCAATGAATATGGACTGAGTGAGAAAGTCAATTGGCCGAATTGAAAACACAAATTTGAAAAAAATTAAAAAAGAATTATTTTTTTAACCCAAATTATTTAGTGCTACAACCACTCACTTTTATCTCATTTTTTGTTTCTTATCAAGTTTGCATTTCTATTTTCGATTCTCTTGACTTCCTTCGAACTCCAAACTTTCTTTTTTAAATTGCAATCTCTAAATCCCAAAGGCATAAATTAAAATTTAAGTTTACAATGTCAAATCCTCATAGACGTGAATTTTGTATAATTTCAAAATATTGTGATATTTTTGGGATAGATTTAAGATTATTTTGGTAGATATAATTGAAATTGAAATGAAATTTATTTGTTTTAACTTATAATTTAAAAATTTTATTTTTGAAAATCCAAGTTATTCAAAAATAGTAAACTTTTCATCATATAAAGTTTTAAATTAGTCTATTGCATGTCTTATTTTGTGCATATATATATTTATATAAATTATATTTTAAAAAATTCATTGAATCGAGGTTGAACCGGTCCGACCGGTTGAACCTCGACCTTTTCACTTCACCGGTTCAATTGACGGTCCGGGTTTTAAAACATTGGTCCTAAGTAACCAATCTGGTTGTCCGCCTTTGTATCAACCTTCTATTTGCAACCAAATATCCTTTCCAAATCATATTAGTAGTATTCTATCGTTGCAATGGCTGAATTGTTTGTTCCAAAGATAATAGGTGAATTGGGTGATGTTGCCATGAAGCAGTTTGGGGCGAAGGTCAACTTGGTGATGGGGTCGAAGAAGAGGTGGCAAATATCTCCTCTAAGTTGGCTACCATTGAAAAAGTGCTGCATGATGCAGAGAGACGAAGGCTGAAGGACAGAAGTGTTGGAATTTGGCTACAAAAGCTTGAGGACATAACATATGAGATGGATGATGTGTTGGACGAATAGAACTTCAAGATTCACAGAGCAAAGAATGAGGGAACTAATCAGAATGCCAGAATGCAGCCTATACTGCGGAACAAGGTTTGTTCCTTTATCCATCCCTTTGCTCTTGTCTCAAACAAGTTCCTGTGCGTAGCGATATAGCTCAGAAAATAAAGAAAATAAATGAACAGCTAAAATTAGCTTTGAAAGAGACAGATCAATTCAAGTTTATTACAAGTGGGGGGATTTCTGATTCTCATGATTTTCAGCGAATTATGACTACCTCAATCATAGACGAATTAGAGGTCTATGGTCGAGCAGCTGATATGGAGAAGGTTCTTGACCAAATTTTGTCCAAGAGTAGTAGTCAAGGAAGAGATGGGGTTCAAATTATCTCTGTTGTAGGGGCCGGGGGTAGTGGAAAGACCACACTTGCCCAGCTGCTCTTCAATAATGATAAAGTGAAGAACCACTTTGAACTTAGAAATTGGACCTGCATATCAGATCCTTTCGACCAGAAAAGGGTCGCGAAAGCTATCCTTGAGAATGCTGGAAAAAGTTCTTATGAAGCAGAGTTGGATCCGTTGATCCGACGTATAAAAGAAACTTTTTCCGGCAAGAGATTCCTGCTTGTCCTAGATGATGTTTGGATAGAGGACGACTCAAAGTGGAAACCTTTCAAAGACTCTCTTAAGGATGGGGCTCCCGGAAGTGTAATCTTGGTAACGACAAGGAGTCATAGAGTGGCCACAGTGGTGGGATCGACTGATACTCACGACCTAGGCATGATCTCTCACTCTGATTGTTGGTTAATAATGCAAAAGATAACGCTTGCTAGAAAATCAGGAGACTTATGCAAGAAGGTGGAAAGAATTGGGCAGAAAATTGCAGAAAAGTGCAAGGGGTTGCCACTTGCAGCAAAGACTATGGGAAGCTTGTTACGGTTCAAAGATACCGTACAGCAGTGGCAGAATGTTTTGGAAAGTGAGATATGGCAATTGGAGGAAGCAGCTGTGGACCTTTTCCCTCATTTGTATTTAAGCTATAACGAGTTGTCCCCGGAGCTGAAACGTTGCTTCTCATATTGTGCTGTCTTTCCCAAAGATGTTGGGATAAATGTAGAAGAACTTATTAGGCTGTGGATAGCACAAGGTTATGTTCGCCCAAGACGAAGAGGTGAGCGCTTGGAGCTGGTGGGCCGTGAGTACTTCAACAATTTGGCAATGCGTTCCTTTTTTCAAGGATTACAAAAATATGGTCATGAATATGGCGAGTGCATGATGCATGACATAGTGCATGATTTTGCACAATTTCTCACAAAAAATGAATGTCATGCACTTGATGGAATTGGAAGAAATTCATCTAGTGAAAGACCACGTCATCTAACAATTTTGGGAGGCACTGAGGAGGAGATGTTTAGTTCTCCAGTCGTTGATTTTGGAAGGCTCAGGAGCTTTTTTGCTTTTTCTGCAATTGGAATAGTAGTTCCCCAAAATATATTCTGCAGTTTGAAGCGCGTGAGGACTCTGACTTTAAGTCATTGTGAGCTAGCTGAAATCCCAGCAGCGACCGGATGTCTGATTCATCTTCGGCACTTGGACTTAAGTAGTAATCCTTTCGTGACACTGCCAGAAGCTATATGTGATCTATATTATCTGGAAACTTTGGATATCGGTTTTTGTGGAAAGCTTTCGTGCCTTCCTGAAAGGATTGAAGGCCTTGTACACTTGAGGCACCTTGAGAATGTCGCGACCCATGAATTACGTCAAATTCCACAAGGACTCAGGAAGCTGACGTCACTCTGTAGTTTGACTCGGTTCATTGTCAGGTGCAACTCTGATGATTTGGCAATTCTGAAGGACCTGAACCAGCTTGAAATATTGGGCATTAAAATTGAAGGAGAAGTAGATTTTGGGAGTGCGGAACTTGGCAAGAAAGTCAACACGCGTGACATGTATTTGCTCTTTAGCAATGGGACCCACTTTATAGAAACTCCAAGCTGCATTGAAACCATGGAACCACCTCCAAACTTGGAAAAACTTGAGCTAGATGGCAATCCAGGAGCCCAGTTACCAAGTTGGCTTGTGACGAAGTCTCACGCCGATAACTTGACAAGGCTAGTTATTGCTAGGGCCCGCAACATCTCATCCTTGCCTGCCTTGTGGAAGCTATCATCCCTAGAAGTGCTTGTGCTCGTGGAAGCGGAAAAGCTAGAATGTTTGGGTAAGGAATTCTTCGGAGTTACAAAAGCACTACATGAGAATAGTCGCGATGCTCTTGATACATTGTCAGACTCCAAGTCATCATTCTCAGCTGAAGTAGTGGCATTTCCAAATTTGAGAACATTACATATTCGCCGCTTCCAAAATTGGACAAATTGGGAAGACTTAAGTGAAGATGATGAAGAAGTTGCTATCTCTATCATGCCATGTCTGGAGAAGCTAGAAATTAGTCAATGTACAAAGCTCGAGACTCTGCCACATCGCATCCTCGGCAAGATATCATCTCTCAAAAATTTGGATATTCGATGTTGCGACAAGTTGAGGGATCGTTACTCTGACAAAACAGGAGATGACTGGATAAAGATATCACACATTCCTCGAGTTGACATATCTGACAAATATTATTAATCTGCTCAGGTATTGTTATTCACACATATTTTTTATGTATCATCATCTTTGAAGTCAAATAATTACTATGTATAGAATTATAACAAACAAAGGCCTGCTTTGTAGAATATGATGTGCTTAATAATGAATCAAGGGTTGACAGAGCCATATGTATAATGAAAATATGAAATATTCATTAACAATTTAGAGTGGTTTTTTTTTTTATTGAGAAGATGCAAGTCATTAACTAGTAAATACAACACTAAATTTCTAACAATATCTAACTGTAAACTCTTCAATTTGGAATTCCATTTACGTCTTGTCTTTTTATCCTTTTTTTTTTTTTGCTTTTGTCCTTTGTTTTCCAGATGATACTCATTGATGGCTCAAAATGAAGCTACAGCAGAAGACATTGAGGGATCAACCTCTACGTCAACTTTTCACTTGGATTCATGTAAAATTTCAAATAATTGTAAATATGGTTGAAGAGGCACATCCACTTGCTTTGTTCAAAATCATTTGTTGAAAGCGTATGTACCCTTACAAATTTCCAGATTGATTTTCAAGTGATTACACAACCAGTCTTTATTTCTTCAAATTATTATTGTCCTATTGTATGTAAGTTTGTGTAGATCGATTTAATAAAAAAGAAAGTTTGTACTTCGTGCTTATCTATATATTGTATTATTGACAATCTATTATGAGTGCACCTATTTTATGGTATTATTTTAAAAATAACATAAATTCAAAATTGAAATTCAATAATACACATGAAGCATACATCCAAAACTGTTAGTAAAAAAAAAAAATAACTACACTATGAATGTATAAAAAGTTAATCCTTATTCTAATGGTTAAAAGTTAACAAGTTGACAAATTATTCCCAAAGAAATTCCAAAACTTTCGTAATTGAAGTCACTATCTCTCAAGTAGACATTACCTGATCAAAAATTCCATCTCTGGAGAAACAAAATTGGTACTTCCCGTTCAGTTTCCAAAAAATCGAAATATGAATAATTCCCAAAGAAACAAAAGAACCTTGCCCAATGCTACTAGATTGCTACTTAAGTTACCACGCTTGACAAGAAACTGGCACTAGTTTCACCAAGAAGTTTGTTTACAAATTAACAAAAATCCCCACAAACATCAAATTAGAAACCAAAGTAGTGCATGAGAGTATAGAAGAAATTGTTTATAAGGTTTACAAAAATCCCAACAAACACTCCATGTAACCCAATGTACCCCACGACTGAATGCATGCAGGGAATTACAGCACAAAATCTTTGGAGTAAGGAATCCTACTCTGCCTGCTGAGAAGGGTTCAGAAGAGAAGAATTACAACAGTACAAAGCTCTAATGTTGGTCCACAGCACCTGCTTCCTAAAATTTCAGATGGTGTTCAAACAAAGAAGCCATTTGAATCTGCAATACAACTCAAACAAGGAAACAAAGACATTATTAGAGAGGAAAATGCAGATCAGGAACATTAAATTCTAAAATATGGTACAACTCATTATTTTGTCAGACCCAGGATACAAAATGAACATCATGCCACTAAATATGCTATGACAGCAAAAACAGACTCTTCCCGCAAGAGTTTCTTGCTCATAAGATGATGACATGAAGAAGGACAATATTACGAGTAACGATTAATCAGAATTTGATTTAGAAACCTACCATAAACTAGATACAACTCGGAACTAATAAAAGTTAGATATTTTAAAGTCCTGCGGAGAAACTCTAGTTGAGAAACCACCAGCATCACAGAGAGACCCAAATGGTCGTTGATAAGGATTTATTTTACGTATTTTTAAGTGCATTTTATTAGTTAATTTGGTTTGATTATTTAGTTTTATAATTAAAATAACTAAGGTTTTGGTAAAAATATACATTTTTGGTAAAAGTGGCTAATATTGCATTTCTATTGATTTTAATAGTAAAAACTTCATTTTTATGCAGGAATGATGATTCAACCACCAAAGGATGTCAATTGAAGTGAAAAATAGAGATTTGGTGATGAATTCAAAGTGGTAAAAAGAAAAATGAAGTGAAAAACGTTTAAGTAAGGAAATGCAAGTCAAGACAGTTTTGACACTCTTCAGTATTTCGACTATATCTGAAGCTACACTGATCGGATTGAGGTGATATTTATACCAATTTAAAGCTAAGAAAGAGATCTACATTTGGTATGAAGACATCAAAGTCCAATTCAGCTGTTTTCATAGTCCAAAAGTTGAAATACCGAAATTCAATCCAAAGTGGAAAACAGAGCTCTGACCAGTGTTTAGTATTTCGATCATATCTCAGGCTACAAAGCTCCGATTTGGATGATTCTTGAAGCATTGAAAATCTAACTCAAAGGGTTACAACTTTTGTGTTTTCCACAAAAGCCAGTTCGGCCTTTATGATAGAGAAAATCGTAGATAAAGTAAGGCCAAAGTGAATAAGCGAGTACACAAAACGCGACTGTAAGCGCGTTTTGTGTAGGCTCGTTTTGTGTAGGCGCGTTTTCTGGCCGAAATTCTGCAATTTGTTCAGTCAATTCTCTTGTGTTCAGACTACTTTCCAGCTATAAGTTGTAAGTGAATTCGGTGCACATGCTTCAGAAGACAAAAAGAGCATACAATATGGCTTATTCCAAGTCAAAAGTCATTGTTTTTTACTTCCTTAACAAATGGAGAATTGAGAATCATTAGAGCAGAAATTTTGGACTAGAGAGGAGATTTTCATCAGCTTATATGCAGAGACATTTGGGAAGACAAGGGAGGATCATACGGGAGAAGCTTGGAGTCTGCAAAAATGTAGCTTTTCCATTCTCTTAGTGTTAGTTTAGCTTAGTATAGAGTAAGATAGTTCATCCATTCTTGTTATTAGCTAGATAAAGAAGAAGATGGAGGATGAAGAAGGCAAGGAAGAAAGCTTATGTGACAAGGGTTGTATTCCTTCCAAATCTTTATCTTTTGTACTTGATTCCAAGTTTAGTTAATATACAAGTTCTGGATTTTGTGTTTAATATGTGTTTCTAAAGTTTATGCCTTGGGTTTGGTTGAACTTTCTATAATTGTTAGTGTTTATTATTTGGTTATTTGATTGCTATGATTTGATCAAGTTATTTAGCACTTTGGCTCTATAAATCATGATTAATCTGGTACCATTGATTGTGATTATCTAAGGTATTGTTTCTGCAATGAAAATTGAGATTTAACACTAGTTTAAGAAGTGCTAAAAATAGGGAGTACACTCACGAAAGTAGAGGTGCACCTATGTGGTTTTTAGTGATTCATTTCATGTAATTTCACTGAAGAAATGAACTTGTAGCTAATTTCATAACCATGAGAATAGGTATGGATTAGTTATAAGTATAATTGATTCACTACGAAAGTAGGATTCAAATGCATAAGGAAATTACACCATAACTAGCCTAGATGTAGTATTCAATGATCCAAATATAGCACTTGCATGAGTAGTTAGGGATACCATAACCTAAGGAGCTTTTATTTGTGTAATTTCAGTAGGTTAAATTTGTTATAATTCATTGATTGTCTAAATAATAGAGAAGCTTTAGTAATACTGGTAATTGTTCACTCTTCCCTGTGGGATCGACTCGATATATACCCTAAACTACTAGTTGACCTGTATACTTGCGGTGAACGGGTGTAATTCGATTTTTTAACTTGTACGTATGTAAAATACCCGTCAAGTTTTTGGCGCCGTTGTTGGGGAAGATTTGGCAATATCGGTGTGAAGAGTAACTTTATTAGTTTAGACATTTCATTAGTTATAGTCTTAATGTTATTTTCTGTTATTTTTGTGTTTTATGCGTGTATGTGTTTCATTACCTATTTTTCTTACTAATTTTGCTTTTGAGGTTGTTTAAAAGCAATTTTAGGTGATGAGAAGGGTAGGTCAATTTGGAGGACAATGCTTGAGAAATGGAAGTTTGGAAATAGATGGTTACCAACTGCAAAACTCCTTCAACAAAAGTAATCAAGAATTTACTGAATGTATGTCTTTTGAAGATGGTTTAAGGTGCTTAAAGGCTAAATTTGATATTATGATGCTACAAGTTCAAATGAACACAATTATGCATGAAATTGAGCAAGGGAGGAATGTTAATGCTTTTAATTCTTATCATGTGATTTGTGACTTGTGTGGAGGTTATCATGCTATTAACACATGTATGCAAGCACAAAATGTGGATTATTATGATGAATTAGAGCATTACAATCCTTATTTTGATCAATACAGTGCTAATTGGAGCAATTCTCTTTCTTATGGTTGGGAAAATCAATGTGCATATAGTGATTATTCATATTTTTATGATTACCAACCTGAAAGTGTCCAATATGAATCAAAATCATCTTAGGAGTTGGCAATAGAAAAGTTAGCTAATGCACCTCTATCTTGGGAGTTAGAAAGTGAACCATTAACTAATGATTCTAATGCATCTTGGGAGCTAGTTGTAGAAAATTTTTCTAATCAATTTGATTCAGCAATAGAAAAGCTAGCAAATGCAACTTTCGACCGTTTTGATAGGATTGAGGAAAGAATAGATGAATTAGCTTTTCACTTTGATAGAATACATGAGCAATTGAATGCATTGTGTGAAGTTATTTCCTCTAATAATTTGCGAAATTATCCTAGCATGAATGGTGGGAATGTTGTATGTGAAAATGGGTTGCATTTTGATGAAAATGATGAATCTCAATTGTGTTTCAATGAGCAAATATCCATTTCACATGATAATATCTTTGGAACTAACTTTGAGCCTCAAGAGGTGAGTTTTAATGACTCATTTTTCACCCCTCTTGAGGAGTGCATGAAAGTATAGGTTCTAAAGGTA